GAAGGAGCGGAGCTCTTCAAAGCGCCTCTGCGAAATTAAATATTTGCCTTCGCCAAAGTGTCTCCTCGGGAAGCTCCCGACCCAGTTTGGGACGGTTTTACTTGATCTCCCTCCCGCCTCCGTCATTCAGAGGCGTCTCCCGTCTGCAGATTTGCCCAGGGGAGCATCCAGGGATCACTCCGGATAGTGCTCAGGGCTGACTCCCGGCTCTGCACTCAAGGATCACTCCTGGCGGTGCTCGGGGGACCCTAGGGGATGCCGGGGATCGAACCCGGGTCGGCCGCGTGCCAGGCCAATGCCCTCCCCGCTGGGCAATCGCTCTGACCCCTGCTTGTGTTTTATGTTTTATTTATTTATTTTTTAATTTTTTAAATTATTATTTTATTTATTTAAATGCCCTCCCTGCTGTGCTATTGCCCAGGTCCCTGGTTCATCACTCTTTATTGATTGATTGATTGATTGATTGATTGCTTTTTGGGTCCCACCCGGCGATGCTCAGGTCTGACTCCCGGCTCTGCATTCAGGGATCACTCCTGGCAGTGCTCGGGGGACCCTAGGGGATGCCGGGGATCGAACCCTGGTCGACCTGGGTTCGATTCTCGGCGTCCCCTAGGGTCCCCTGAGCACCGCCAGGAGTGATCCCTGAGTGCAGAGCCGGGAGTCAGCCCTGAGCATCGCTGGGTAGGACTCAAAAGGCCAAAATAATAATAACAATAATAATAATAAGGGAAGGGGGTTGGAGCGATAGCACAGCGGGGGGGGGGCGTTTGCCTTGCACGTGGCCAACCCGGGTTCGATTCTCAGCATCCCCTAGCACTGCCAGGAGTGATTCCTGAGTGCAGAGTCAGGAATAACCGCTGAGCGTTCCAGCAGGGTGTGACCCAAAAATTTAAAAATAATAAAAAAGAGTTTCAGGAGGAGGCGAGTGGTGAAGTACAAAGAGGTTCTATTTGGAAGTTTTGAAGGAGAGAAAGAGGGAGGGAGAGAGGGAGAGAGAGAGGGAGAGGGAGAGAGGGAGGAGAGGGTCAGGAGAGACCTTGGCGTCTCGGAAGGTGGATTGAGCCCAGGCCCGTCTCCGTCTCCGGAGGGGACAAGCTGGTGACGTGTGTGCTGGGCCACCGCCCTGGCCCAAGGGGCAGCATGTGTGCGTCTCTGTTCGAGTTGCCCTTGCAGGCAGCTGACCCGGGTGTGGCCCCCAAACAGAAAACAAACCAGAAAGGAAGAGCCCGAAGGGGTCCCCGACTTCTGAACACCGCCCGGGGCTGCTTGGGGCAGAGCCAGGGATGGGGAGACGTGGGTGGCGCTTGGCACTTGTCAACAGGCCGTTTGGCAAACAGCAAATGCAGTGGGTTCGGGGTGATGTTTGTGTCCTGGGGTTCTGGGACAGGGGGCAGGGGGAGGGGCAGAGAGCAGAGAGGGTCTAGTTTGCTCCGTTCGCCCGTTAGTCGGTTGGTTTGGTGCTGGGGTCTCCCCAGCAGGGCTCAGTGGCTGCTCTGGTGCGTGGCATCCCCTAGGGTCCCCCGAGCACCGCCAGGAGTGAGTCCTGAGTGCAGAGCCAGGAGTCAGCCCTGAGCATCGCCGGGTGGGACCCAAAAAGCGAAAGAAAGAAAGAAAGAAAGAAAGAAAGAAAGAAAGGAAGGAAGGAAGGAAGGAAGGAAGGAAGGAAGGAAGGAAAGAAGAAAGGCTGGAGCGATAGTACAGCTGGAAGGGCATTTGTCTTGCACGCGGCCGACCGGGTTCGATCCCCGGCATCCCCTAGGGTCCCCCAAGCACCGCCAGGAGTGAGTCCTGAGTGCAGAGCCGGGAGCCAGCCCTGAGCATCGCCGGGTGGGACCCAAAACAACAACAACAATAACAAAAGAATATTCTGGGAGGCCTCCAGGGACAAGCCAAACCACACTCAGGGCAGTGGCAGGGCTGGGATTCGAACCTTGTCTGCACCCTCTCCCCGGCCCAGAGAGCGTCTATTTATAATCCCACATTTTTCAAGCCCAGAGCGCCGAGACCGCGACTTTGTGGCCTAACTGGGCCCTCGGCGTGGGCGTCCCGGTGCCGAGACCCCGCAACACGAATCGGCTCTTCTCTTCAATATTTACCTGGTCGGCCGTTCTCTCGTCCAGTCTGCAAATATTTGTCAGGGTTTGCTCGCCCGCCTGTGCTCTGCAGGAGAGAGATGCCGCCGTGTTTCAACAGCTGCCAGCCAGCGCCGGCCTGGGCTTGGGGAACCGGTGGGAAAAGTCGTGTGTCACACGCACGGGGGCAGCAGGCCCGGGAGGGGGCGCTCGGAGGGGCCGGACTGAGGAAGGGATCTGGGAGGCCCCAAGGTCACGGCTCTGAGCCTAGGACTGGGGGGGATTTTTTTTTCTTTTTTTTTTGCTTTTTGGGTCACACCCGGCGATGCACAGAGATTACTCCTGGCTCTGCACTCAGGACTCACTCCTGGCAGTGCTCAGGGGACCCTATGGGATGCTGGGAATCGAACCCGGGTCAGTCACGTGCAAGGCCAATGCCCTACCCGCTGTGCTATCTCTCCAGCCCGATGCGGAACTTTTGATTTTTTTTTCCTTTTTGGGTGACACCCGGCGATGCACAGGGGTTCCTCCTGGCTCTGCACTCAGGAGTTACTCCTGGCGGTGCTCGGGGGACCATATGGGATGCCCGGGATCGAGCCCGGGTCGGCTGTGTGCAAGGCAAACGCCCTCCCAGCTGTGCTATTACTCCAGCCCCTAAGGGGGATTTGGAGCCGGGACCCCAAGGCGTGGGGCCCCACCCCACCCCGGAAGCCATGTGCAGGTGCGGCCCTGACGGATGGATGGTCCCTGCCGTGGCCAGCTCCAGCTCCTGGTTTTTTGTTTGGGGGGGCCACACCCGGCGATGCTCAGGGCTGACTCCTTCCTGGCTCTGAGCTCAGAAATCATTTCTGGTGGTGCTCAGGGGGCCTTATGGGATGCCGGGGATTGAGCACAGGGCCGGAAGTGAGCCCTGAGCACAGAGCCGGGAGTGAGCACTGAGCACAGAGCCAGGAATCAGCCCTGAGCACAGAGCCGGGAGTGAGCCCTGAGCACGGAGCTGGGAGTGAGTTCTGAGCACAGAGCCAGGAGTCAGTCAGCCCTGAACACAGAGCCAGGAGTCAGTGCTGAGCACAGAGCTGGGAGACAGCCCTGAGCACTGAGCCGGGAATCAGCCCCGAGCACAGAGCCGGGAGTGAGCCCTGAGCAAGAAGCCAGGAGTCAGCCCTGAACAAGGAGCCAGGAGTCAGCCCTGAGCACCGCCGGGTGTGGCGGGTGTGTGTGGAGGGTGCTTTGGGACGGTGACCTCCCCCCCCAATCCTGTGACGGGCCAGCATGGACTCAGACTCCTCACAGTGGACATTTCTGTGTGGTCAGAGTCGAAGTTCCGCCGGCACCAGAACCAGTCTGGGAAAGCGTGTTCACATCCGGGGGCCAAAGAGAGAGCGCAGTGGGTAGCGCATTTGCCCGGCATGCGGCCAACCCGGGTTCGATCCTCGGCATCCCCATAGGGTCCCCCAAGCCCCACCCACCAGTGGTGACCCTGGAGGATAGTCAGGAAGAAAGAAGCCCTGAGTACCGCCGGGCATGGCCCCCCACCCCCAAGTATAGGTCTTTGCACTTCTTGGTCGTCGCATCATATTAAAAAGAAAAGTCGTGCCAAGTTGGTGAGCACTGTAGCACTGTCCTCCTGTTGTTCATCGATTTGCTCGAGCAGGCCCAGTCACGTCTCCATGGTGAGACTTGTTGTGACTGTGTTTGGCATCTCGAAGACGCCACGGGGAGCTTGCCAGGCTCTGCCGTGCGGGCGGAATACTCTTGGTAGCTTGCCGGGCTCTCTGAGAGGGATGAGGAATCGAACCCGGGTCGGCACATGCAAGGCAAACACCCTCCCCGCTGTGCTATCACTCCTGCCCAAGTTGGTGTGAATTTGTAAGAATTGGGAAAGTCCTACCAGGCTGGTGTTATTTTTCTGGCGCGTCCCAACACCCAGAGGCTGTGAGTGTCTTCCGGAATATTCCCCCCCTCCCCCGCCCCATCAATGTCCCCTGTCCTGGCCTCTCCCAAGGTCTCCTCAGCTCCACGTGGCTCCGTCAGCTGTGGGCGAGGGACACAGCCCCTGAGGGGAAGGGACACACCCGGGGCTGGGAGAGACGTGACAAGTCAGACCCCCACCTGGGTCCCCAGAGGGGCTCGGACCCAGAACGGGCCTCCATGTGCCATGCCGGGTGGGCGGGTTGGCTGAAGGGACAAGGAGGCACGGCTGGAGCTAAGTGGGGACTGGGGGTCTCTGAGGGGACGGGTTGGGAGTCTCAGGGGGCGGGTTGGGGGGTCACTGAGGGGGTGGGGGTTGGGCATCCCTAAGGGAGCAAGAACTGAGGGTCCCTGAGGAGGCTGGAGTTGGGGGTCCCTGAGGGGGCGGGTTGGGGGTCTCTGAGGGGGCAGGTTCTGGAGTCCCTGAGGGGGCAGGTTGGGGGGTCCCTGAGGGGGCGGGTTCGGGGGTCTCTGAGGGGGTGGAAGTTGGGGGTCTCTGAGGGGGAGGGTTGGAGGTCCCTGAGGGGGCGGGTTGAGGGCCCCTGAGGGGGCAATTTGGGAGTCTCAGGGGACGGGTTGGGGGGGTCCCTGAGGGGCGGGTTGGGGATCTCTGAGGCTGCAATTTGGGGATCTCTGAGGGGGTGGGGGTTGTGCATCTCTGAGGGAGCGAGAACTGAGGGTCCCTGAGAAGGTGGAAGTTGGGGGTCCCTGAGGGGGCGGGTTGGGGGGTCTCTGAGGGGGCTGGTTGGGGGGTCTCTGAAGGGGCGGGTTGGGAGTCTCAGGGGATGGGTTGGGGGGGGTCCCTGAGGGGCGGGTTGGGGGTCTCTGAGCGAGCAGGTTAGGGGACCCTGAGGGGGCAGGAACTGAGAGTCTGAGGGCCGGGAGGGTGGGCAGCCCCAGGTGCGACCGGGCCTGTGCCCACCTGTGCCCATCCGGGCTCTTTCCTCTCTCCCACAGGCAAGACCGAGGCGGCCGTGCGGAACTTCAGCCCCTTCTACCGCCGCCAGTTCGCGGCCGCCTTCTGCGGGCACGTGTGCAGCCAGGTGCAGCCGCAGCAGGACGCCCCCTCCCAGCTGCTGAAGACCAAGGTGGGCCTGGCTGGGACCTCCCCGCCCCTCTCGCCTCAGGCAGTTCCCGAAACCCGGTCTCCAGCCACTTCCTGTCCGACAAACTCCTGGGTCCGGGAAGGTGGCTCAGTGGTCAGGGACTCGGTTGCACGTTCACAGACTCCAGGCGAGCCCCGGGACCCATGTGACCCCCCAATGTCCCCCAAGCACTGCCAGGTCTGATCTTGGGGACCCCTCTGTGGCCCTGGTACCCCCAATCTCGGCATCGCATTACCAGGCCCAAGTATTGAACCATCCGGCCCGACAGGCCCGGGGGTCCCAGCACTGGTTAGAGGACAACCCCAGGGAAAGAGACTTCTGGATCACAGGGGAATTCTTGGTTCTGGTGTCTCCATCACTAAGGCAGGCAGGCGTGATGGCAACTGTGCTGCCTGCCCAGCCCCCTTCGGCCCTTTCTTACGAGCCATGGAATCCTTAAAAAGAAAAGTCAGGGGTCAGAGAAGTAGCACAGCGCGGAGGGCATTTGCCTTGCACGTGGCCGACCCAGGTTCGATTCCCGGCATCCCATAGGGTCCCCCGAGCACCGCCAGGAGTGTTCCCTGAGTGCAGAGCCAGGAGTCAGCCCTGAGCATTGCCAGGTGGGACCCAAAAAGCAAAAAAAAAAAAAAAAAAGGGAAGGAAGAGAAAGAAAGGAGGAAAGGGAGGAAGGAAGGAAGGAAGGAAGGAAGGAAGGAAGGAAGGAAGGAAAGAAGGAAAGAAGGAACGAAGGAAGGAGGGCTGGAGCCATAGACCAACCTGGAAGGTGTCTGCCTTGCACGTGGCCGACCCGGGTTCGATCCCCAGCATCCCCTAGGGTCCCCCGAGCACCACCAGGAGTGATCCCTGAGTTGCAGAGCCAGGAGTCAGCCCTGAGAATCACCAGGTGGGACCCAAAAAGCAAAAAAAAAAAAAAAAAAAAAAAAAGAAGAAAGGAAGGAAGAAAGGAAGGAAGGAGGGCTGGAGCCATAGACCAGCCTGGAGGGCGTTTGCCTTGCACGTTACCGATCCGGGTTCGATCTCCGGCATCCCATAGGGTCCCCCAAGCACCGCCAGGGGTGATCCCTGAGTGCAGAGCCAGGAGTCAGCCCTGAGCATTGCCAGGTGGGACCCAAAAAGCAAAAAAAAAAAAAAAGGATCAAGAAGAGGGGGTGTGTCAGGGGTGGGCTAGAAGCAACACCCCCCACCCCATCCCATGCCCCCCAGATCTCCCTCGAAAGACCCGGGCGGTCCCCATGGCGCTCACTCTCTCCTTCTCCCCCCCATAAGCCCCCCCTGGAGCCCGGGACGGTTTTGTTTGAGGCCGAGTTAACCCAGTTTGCCGACGACATCAAGAAGTGGAAGGAGAGATACGTGGTCATCAAGAATGACTTCGCCGTGGAGAGCTACGAGAGCAAAGAGGTAGGACGCAATGACCAGGCGTGGCCACCGCGGAGTCTTCTCCTCCCGGGGTCACTGGGCAGCCCCCAACCCACCAGCCATGCTCACATCCGCACCCCCAGATACGTGCGGAGTGCCCACGGCGTGCCTCCCTGTGGGAGGGTCTGGGTGCAGCCGCTGACTGGCCTGTACTGAGGTTGGAAGGGTGACGGGGACAAGAAACTGCCAGCAAGCATGGAAACGGAAGGTTGTGCTGTGGGACCCTAAAGCTAGAACATACTAGAATGTACTAGAACATACAAGAATGTCCTAGAACGTACTCGAATGTGCTAGAACATACTAGAATGTACTAGAACACACTAGAATGTACTAGACCATACAAGAATGTACTAGAGTGTGCTAGAATGTGCTAGAACGTACTAGAATGTGCTGGAATGTACTAGAACATACAAGGATGTCCTAAAGCGTACTAGAATGTGCTAGAACATACTAGAATGTACTAGGACGTACTAGAAGCACCAGAATGTACTAGAATGTCATACATTCTAGTGGCCCCCCAGGTGGTCTTAGGGACCCTGTCTCAACCCCCCGATTGTCTTCCCCTCCTCCAATCTCCCACCTCCCTGCGGGCCAGTGAGATTCTTTTCCCTGGGTTGCTGGGAATTTGGGATCTTTCATGCACCTGATTCAACTTCTAAATGCTTCTAGTATCTCTCTCTGGCTCTGTCACCCTGGTCGGCAAAACGTGGACCAGGAGATCTGCAGGCCCAGCTCAGTTCCGATGCTCCGTGACCAGAAACGGAACGAGATCCCACGGGTTAACCCCTCCCCGCTGTGCTGTCTTCCCTGCCCTGTAATGCGTGGGTTTTCTTTCTTCTTCTTCTTCTTCTTTTTTTTTTTTTAAGTGCTGGGGCCACATTCAGCGGGTACTGACGGCTGACTCGTGCTTCTGTGCTCGGGGATCACTCCTAGCAAAGCTCAGGGAACTGTAACAAGTGCAGGGATCGAATCCAGGTGACTGTGTTCAAGGCAGACGCCCTCCCCGCTGTGCTGCCGCTCTGTCCTTGGCCTGGGTTCATTAAGGAACTTAATTTGGGGGCTGGAATGACAGTACAGTAGGACGTTGGCCTGGCACGTGGTCGACCCGGGTTTGATCCCCAGCATCCCATAGGGTCCCCTGAGCACCTCCAGGAGTGATTCCTGAGTGCAGAGCCAGGAGTCAGCCCTGAGCATCGCCGGATGGGACCCAGAAAGCCAAAAAAAGAAAAAAAAGAAAGAAAGGAAGGAAGAAAGGAAGAGAAAGAAGGAAGGAAGGAAGGAAGGAAGGAAGGAAGGAAGGAAGGAAGGAAAAAAGGAAAAGAAGGAAGGAAGGAAGGAAGGAAAAAAGGAAGAGAAGGAAGGAAGGAAGAGGAAGGAAGGAAAGAAGGAAGGAAGGAAGGAAGGAAGGAAGGAAGGAAGGAAAAAAGAAAGAGAAGGAAGGAAGGAAGGAAGGAAGGAAGGAAGGAAAAAAGGAAGAGAAGGAAGGAAGGAAAAAAGGAAGAGAAGGAAGGAAGGAAAAAAGGAAGAGAAGGAAGGAAGGAAGGAAGGAAGGAAGGAAGGAAGGAAGGAAAAAAGGAAGAGAAGGAAGGAAGGAAGGAAAAAAGGAAGAGAAGGAAGGAAGGAAGGAAGGAAGGAAGGAAGGAAGGAAGGAAGGAAGGAAGAGCTAGAGCCTGGAGGGCGTTTGCCTTGCACGCGGCCGACCCAGGTTAAATCCCAGCATCCCATAGGGTTCCCCGAGCACCCCAGGAGTCAGCCCTGAGCATCACCCAGTGGGACTCAAAAAATCAAAAAACAAACAAAAAAACCCCACAAAACCAGGGGTCAGAGCGATAGCACAGTGGGGAGGGCGTTTGCCTGACACCTAGCCAACCCGGGTTCGATCCCTGGTATCCCATAGGGTCCCCCCGAGCACTGCCAGGAGGAGTGATTCCTGAGTGAAGAGCCGGGAGTCAGCCCTGAGCATCGCCGGGTGTGGCCCAAAACTAAAAAAAAGGTTAAAAAACCTAAAAACCAAAGGAAAACCTTGGTGGCTGAAACCGTAGGATGGATGTTTAGCAGGGCCGAGGCCGGGCGTCCCTGGACCCCCCGAAGCCCAGGACTAGAAGGTCAGAGGCCAAGGATGAAATCTCCCGGAGATGGTCGGACGCGGCCGTTTCTCTCTCCTGGGGAGACGGCGTCCAGGGTGGGGATTGGTCCGGGCCCCCCCACTGCCGGGCCTGGAGGGTCTTGGTGTGGAAACAGCAGCTGGTTCTGCAGGGGGGCCCCAGGGCCCTTCCTGACCCTCAGTAGACCCTGGGGGTTGGTCACGGGTGCAGGTCTGGCCCCGGGGGCGGGGCGTTTCCAGAGGGAAGAACTTTCAAGGGGGGACACTGAGAAAACGGGGGATCCCCAGAGCCATCATCCCCCCACCCCCATGTGTCCCTGGCCCATTCTCACACTCACGCCCTCTGTCACCCCCCCAGGCCTTCCAGAGAGGGGCCGCCCCCCGGAGCCGCCTCCTGCCTGCCAATGGCCGTGTGCTCACCTCAGAGGCCGAGTACAACTCACTGTCGGACCAGCACTTCCCGGACCCCTCGGGTGAGTTCCGCCGGGCCCGGTGGGTGGGCTGCGGGGGTGGGACAGTGACCCTGGCTGCCCCGTGAGGTACTGGACACCCCAGGGGAGGGTCAGCTATACCCACAGGAAATGGGGCACCCAAGGGAGGGTCAGCTGTGCCTGTAGGCGTCCAGGGGAGGGTCAGCTATACCCACAGGACACAGGATGCCCAGGGGAGGGTCAGCTGTGCCTTTAGGCATCCAGGGAAGGTCCAACTGCACCCCACGGTGCTTAAGCGTTGCTGTCCAGACAGTCTCCAGAGGGAGCAGATGTCCTTCATCCCACCCGGCCGCCGCTGGCCACCGCTCAGGGCGCAGGTGTCTGCATCTGTGCGCAGTGGCCTTGCGTCCCGGGAAGGAGTGTCCGGGGGCAGCAGGCTCTGGCCAGCACTGATCACAGGGCAGAGGACAGCTGAGCCCTAGGTCGGGCCCTCCTACGTCGGGCGGCATGAGGAGGCCGGCCCCAAGGTGGTGTTCCAGAGTCCAGGAGGCAGGACACAGACACACGGACCCTTCGAGCTGGCGTCCGAGGGAGGCCAGGGATGGGTGAGGGGTGGAACCTTCCTGGCGTGGTCCCTCAGGGCCGACGACACTGAGAGTGGGAACTTGGAGTTTTGTTCTCCGACAAACCTGTCAGCCTTTTGGTTTGGGGGGCCACACCTGGAGGTGCTCAGGGCACAGTGCTCCTGGCTCTGCGCTCAGGGATCATTCCTAGCGGTGCTTGGGGGATCTTATGGGATGCCGGGGATCGAACCCAGGTCAGCCACATGCAAGGCAAATGTCTTCCCTGCTGTGCTATCAGTTGGGGTCTCGAACCTTTGTTTTCTACTTCAAATATTGGCTCTTGAGCCTGAGAGCCTGGAAGGTTCTTTTCTTTTTTTTAGCTTTAAGCCCCTTTTTGATTCCGCGTTAGGACACTTTTTCTTTTTTTTACATACTCAGAAACTGATGGAGAACATTTAATGTTCTAGAGTATTCATCAAGCCTCCTGAACTAGGTGGGACTCTAAAACCTCCACCTAGGGCTGGAGCGATAGCACAGGGGGGAGGGCGTTGGCCTGGCACACGGCCAACCCAGGTTCGATCCCCGGCATCCCATAGGGTCCCCCGAGCACTGCCAGGAGTGATTCCTGAGTGCATGAGCCAGGACTCAGCCCTGAACATCCCTGGGTGTGAGCCAAAAAGCAAAGAGAGAGAGAGAGAGAGAGAGAGAGAGAGAGAGAGAGAGAGAGAGAAGGAAGGAAGAAAGAAAAAGAAAGAAAGAAAGAAAGAAAGAAAGAAAGAAAGAAAAGAAAAGAAAGAAGGGACTGGAGTGATAGCACAGCGGGGAGGGCGTTTGCCTTGCACGCAGCCAACATGGCCGACCCGAGTTCGATTCCTCCGCCCCTCTCGGAGAGCCCGGCAAGCTTCCGAGAGTATTCGATATGCCAGACACAGTAACAACAAAGTCTCCAATGGAGACGTTACTGGGCCCGCTGGAGCAAATAAAAAAAAAAAACCCTCCACCTAGCTCTGTGTAAATCACACCACACCCAGTAAAAGACTCCATGCCTTGGGGGGGGGGGGGGGGGATAAAACCCACCCAGATTCTGATTAATAGGCGCAATGATGTCATTTGGACGGGTGGAGAAACTATAATCATTCTGTTCGTTGTTGTTTCTGGGACAAGTAGCCCGTGTCTTTAAGAGCACAGCCAGGGGCTGGGTCCCGCACCTCCAGCCCAGATTCGCAGCCCAGACCCAGGCCATCGGAACTCTAACACCGTTTACGTGCGTTCTCCGCGTTACTGCGGTTTCTTCTGACATTCACTTATGGATGGACTTGCTTCCGGGCTGCCACTGCAAGGAAGACAGGGCACCAGTGAGCTGTGAAAATTCCACCGAGGAATTTTCCGACGACGCAGTCAGCCCGAGGAGACAATCTATTTATTGATGGGTCGGCGAAAGCATTTCAGAGGGAATGAAAAGGAATTTGGGACTTGGGACGCCAGGCTGGTGACTTACTTGGCTTCTTGGCCCGGGGCTCCTGACCAGGGGCAATCCGGGGACTTTTCCGCCTGTACCGTGCGGCCTTCTGGGTTTTAAAAAACAGACTGTGCTCGGGGCTGGAGCGATAGCACAGCGGGGAGGGCGTTGGCCTGGCACACGGCCGACCCGGGTTCGATCCCCGGCATCCTATAGGGTCCCCCGAGCACTGCCAGGAGTTATTCCTGAGTGCAGAGCCGGGAGTCAGCCCTGAGCATCGCTGGGTGGGATCCAAGAAGCAAAATAATAATAATAATAATAATAGCATTGGGTCCATCACCCAGTTCAGCACCTTGATCAATATCTGGCCCATCACCCAGTTCAGCACCTTGATCAATATCTGATCCATCCATAGGGGCTGGAGCAATAGCACAGCGGGGACAGTGCTGTCCTGGCATGCGGCCGACCCGGGTTCGATTCTCTCTGTTATTGTTATTATTATTATTATTATTACTTTGGTCTTTTGGGCCACACCCGGCGATGCTCAGGGCTGACTCCCAGCTCTGCACTCAGGACTCCCTCCTGGTGGTGCTCGGGGGACCCTAGGGGATGCCGGGGATCGAACCTGGGTTGGCTGCGTGCCAGGCCAATGCCCTCCCCGCTGTGCTATTGCTCCGGCCCCTAGGAGACGATTCTGGGGGCATTGGGTGAGACTCAAGGCCGGACACCTGGTGCTTGTAAAATGCACCCAGACCCGCCCTGCTGGGTGGTCTTCAGGGATGGGTCTTATCTGCCCCACAGGGACAGATTCATCAGCTCTGACGCTTGTTGCCGTGTTTCATGTCCTGTCACCGCTCACGCCCCATCACTGTCCAGATTCCACGCCTGGGCCGGGTTTCATGTTTGTGTCCATCTGTGCCAGCCTGGTGTCTGTGCTGTGCAGTAGCCTCCGAGCCCGGGCACTCGGGGGCCGTGTCCTGCTTCCAGGAAGAGGCTCCGTGAATGCCTGTGGGGGGGAGGTCATTGATCCCAGGACCCCCGAGAGGGAACCCCAGTGAGGCCCACCCAGGGGAGGGGCGTGGCCATCCCTGGAGGCCCAGCAAAAGGAGGTGTCGCTTCTGAACTTCCGTGGCAAGGAAGGAGGGGAAGGGGGAGTGGGTGGCCTGAAGCCCGGAGGCCGGTCGGGTGTGGAACCTACTGGAACCCACTGGAATCCACCGGAACGGGGCAGGAGCTGAGGGTGGGAGGGGCCTGGACCTGGGGGACAGGAGAGATGCAGGGAGTCACGGGGGGTCGGCTGTGATGGGGAGGGGAGGGCAGGGTCTGTCCAGTGAGCAGGGGTCTGTATAGTGACCAGGGATCTGTATGGTGACTAGGGCTCCATCCGGTGACCAGGGGTCTGTCCAGTGACCAGGGGTCTGTGTAGTGACCAGGGCTCTGTCCAGTGACCAGGGGTCTGTCCAGTGACCAGGGGTCTGTCCAGTGACCAGGGCTCTGCATGGTGACCTGAGCTCTGTCCAGTGACCAGGGGTCTGTCCAGTGACCAGGGATCTGTGTAGTGACCAGGGATCTGCATGGTGATCAGGGGTTTGCATGGTAGTCAGGAGTCTATATAATGACCAGGGCTCTGTCCAGTGACCAGTGTCCCTGTGGAGATGCCCTCTCCCTCCCCGTCCCCGTGCCCCCAGCCAGAAGCGCCCTCCCTGAGGAGGCCTAACCCGCCCTCCCTTATCTCCGCAGCGGGCAGTGAGAGGGACACAGCGCCCCCGGCTGCGCTGCCCACGGCCTTCCCAGTCTTCCTGTGGCTGCCTTTCGTCCGGCCCGGCTGCTTCTGCTGCCTGGACGCCGCCCAGCAGCGGGCCTTCATAGCCGTCCTGGGGGACTGTGTCCGCCACCTGAACCAGGGTAGGTGACCGGGTGGGTGGCCACCCCCACCATGCCTTCGAGGGGCCTGGGGGGGCTGGAGGGGCGGGGGCGCCTGACTCCCACTGACAGCCCCAAGTGTCCATCCAGTGCCTGAATGTCACCATCGAAGTGGCCGAGGGCAGGTGCCCACTGTCCCTGCCTTCGGGATTATGTTCCTGGCGAGGTGGGGATCTGGCCCCAGGCCTCGGGCGGGCAGTGCCAGCCCCCAACCCTGGCACGATTGCCCCAGCCCCACACTTCTTTTTTGTTTTCTTTTCTTTTTGCTTCTTGGGTCCCACCTGACGATGCTCAGGGCTGACTCCCGGCCTTGCACTCAGGAATCACTCCTGGCGGTGCTTGGGGGACCTTATGGGATGCCGGCGGGTCAGCCGTGTGCCAGGCCAACGCCCTCCCCTATTGGTCCCTGTTTATCGATTTAATCTGCTGCGTTGGCATCTCCAGGGAAAAGCGTAACCTCTCCTGCCCTGTTTCCTTGCTGAGCTCAGGGGGAGGGATGTCGGGGTGGACGGAGGGTAGGGGGAGAGAATGAAGAACCTGAGAAGTTGTGATGTGTGTGTGTGTGTGTGTGTGTGTGTCTTTTTAGGTCCCACCTGGTGATGCTCAGGGCTGACTCCTGGCTCTGTGCTCAGGAATCACTCCTGGCGGTGCTCGGGGGACCCTAGGGGATGCCGGGGATCGAACCCGCGTCAGCTGTATGCAAGGGAAACGCCTTCCCTGCTGGACTATCGCTCCAGTTCCATGAATATTATTATTATTATCATTATCATCATTATTATATGCTTTTTTGGGTCCCACCCGGCGATGCTCAGGGCTGACTCCTAACTGGCTCTGCACTCGGGAATCACTCCTGGCGGCGCTCGGGGGACCCTAGGGGATGCCGGGGATCGAACCCGGGTTGACCGCATGCCAGGCCAACACCCTCCCCGCTGTCTTCTCTTTCCAGCCCTGAACTGGGGCGGTGGCAGCTGGGCTGACGACCAGGCACGGGGGGGTCAAGGCGGCCTGACTTGGAAGCCCCCCACTCTTGGGCCCCCACTACGGCCCACAATCCTCTCTGATACTGCGTCCCCTGGGTTCTGAGTGGAGATACAGGTGGGGGTTGGGAGACCAAGCGAGAGTGACCGCAGGCCGTGAGTCAGAGCCGGGACCGTGTTGGGGTGTCCCTGCGGGGGAGCAGACACCCGCCCACGGGCGCCCCTGCACAGCCCGTTTCCTTCCTCATTCACACCTTGAATCGCGGCCACTTCATGCTTGGGGCGGGGCAGGGCTGGCCGGGGAGGGCATCGCTGCTGTCAGGGGCCTGCGAGAGGGAGGGTGGAGACAGGAAGTGGGGCCTTTGCCTGCACGGGACGAGGATGAGTGGTTTGCTGCAGGGATGCTCACCCAAGTTGAGAATTTTCTTTTGCCTCTCTCTCTCTCTCTCTCTCTCTCTCTCCTCTTCCCCCTCCCTTTCTCTCTCTCTGTCTTTTTGGGTCCCACCCGGCGATGCTCAGGGCTGACTCCCGGCTCTGCGCTCAGAGATAGATCACTCCTGGCAGTGCTCGGGGGACCCTAGGGGATGCCGGGGATCAAACCCAGGTCAGTCACGAGCCAGGCCAACGCCCTCCCTACTGGTCTCTTCACTCCAGCCCTGCCGTCGGAGGGAATTTTTTTTTTTGAGTCGTTTCCACGTTGATTCTTTGCCACGGCCCAGAGAAAGATGAGGATGGGAGTCTGGGGCAGAGAGGGAGAGACAGAACCCAGGAAAGAAGCGGAGGTGGAGGGGGGGAGTTTTGGCTTTCCTGCTGGGAGACGCAGGAAGGAAACTGTTCTGTGATTCACTTCAGGCTCCTGGAGAGGCCCCACAGCTGGAAAGGGAGAAGCAGGCGGGGCTGGAGCCAAGCGCTTTCCAGATGTTACAGAAATCCGCTGATATTTTTTTTCCCTCCAGTTTGTGAACTCATGATTTTTTAAGTGTCGGACATTCCACTGTACATGTTTTTTTTTTTTCATTTTTTTCTGTTAAAAATAATTTGTGCAGAGGCCAACCTAGTTTGCAGAAATACTGGAAATCTTGTCGTTTGTTTGCGGGCCACACCTGGCCGTGCTCAGGGCTGACTCCCAGCTCTGTGCTTGGGGCTCATTCCCGGCTCTGTGCTTGGGACTGACTCCCGGCTCTGTGGTCTGGGCTGACTCCCGGCTCTGTGCTCAGGGCTGACTCCCGGCTCTGTGCTCAGGGTTCACTCACGGCTCTGTGCTCAGAAATCTCTCTGGGGTCACACGGCAGTGCAGCAGGGGAGCGCCTTCACCCTTGGGCTGTCTCTGCAGAGGTCCAGGACGCCTTTGTCCCAGCCCCCCCCCCCCACCCACTTCTCTGGGCCACATTTCAGGATTCGGGTCCCCTGGGGACTGTCTGTCTCTCCCGCTCTCTCGGCTTCTTCCGACCTGGCATCCGAGCGAGTCCGTCCAGCCCTGGTCTTCGCTTCATTTTCCTTCCCACGCCCAGCTCGGGGCCCACCCAGAGCCCAGCCAAACGCGAGACGGCGTCTCTGCTCCTCCCTGAGTTGTGCTGGCTTGTCTTTCGAGACCAAGATGGCTTTCTCTTCACATTCTTTTTTTTTTTTTTTTTTTTTTTAGCTATTTGGTTCCCACCCGGCAATGCTCAGGGTTTCCTCCTGGCTCTGCACTCAGGGATCACTCCTGGCGGTACTTGGGGGGATCGAACCCGGGTCAGCCACGTGCAAGGCAAACGCCCTACCTGCAGTGCTATCGCTCCAGCCCCCTTCACACCCATTCTCTGTTCTGCCTCATGTCCTCGGCTCCTGGTAACGCCAGTGTCCTGGTCACTGGACTATCACTCCAGCCTTTCTTCTTTTCTTTTCTTTTCTTTTCTTTTTTCCTTTTCCTCCCTCTCTCCTTCCTTCCTTCCTTCCTTCCTTTCTTTCTTTCTTTCTTTCTTTCTTTCTTTCTTTCTTTCCTTTGCTTTTTGGGTCCCACCTGGCAATGCTCAGGGCTGAGTCCTGGCTCTGCACTCAGGAATCACTCCTGGCGGTGCTCGGGGGACCCTGTGGGATGCCGAGGATCGAACCCGGGTCAGCTGCATGCAAGACAAACGCCCTCCCCGCTGTGCTATCGCTCCAGCCCCCTTCACACCCATTCTCTGTTCTGCCTCACGTCCTCGGCTCCTGGTAATGCCAGTGTCCTGGCCAGCAGTTTCTGTTGTCTGTGGCCCCGGGGCTCCACGTCTGCAACTGTGGTTGCTGAGTGTCTCGAGGGCTTTATTTTTGTTTTGCTACCATGCCGGTGATCAGATGCACCTGCACCCTCCACTAGCACTCATACCAGGGACCTCAGCCAGGGTATGTGAGCAGCCCCAGGAATCGAACCCGGGACCTAGGCAGAGGCTATAAAACATGACGAAGCCGGTGGCCCAAAGGGGTGCAGGTCGTGGTCTGCATGCAAGAATCCCAGGATTAGGGCTGGAGTGACAGCACAGCGGGGAGGGCGTTTGCCTGGCACGCGGCCGACCCGGGTTCGATCCCCGGCATCCCCTAGGGTCCCCTGAGCACTCCCAGGAGTGATCCCTGAGTACAGAGCCGGGAGTCAGCCCTGAGCATCACCGGGTGGGACCCAAAAAGAAAAAATATTAACCCAAGAACCCCCCCCCAAATAAATTTAATTTTAAAAATATTATCATGCTTAGGGGCTGGAGCGATAGCACAGTGGGTAGGGCATTTGCCTTGTACGTGGCCGACCCAGGTTCGATTCCCAGCATCCCATAGGGTCCCCCGAGCACTGCCAGGGGTCACTCCTGAGTGCAGAGCCAGGAGTAAACCCCTGTGCATCGCTGGGTGTGGCCCAAAAGAAGAAAAAAGAATCCCAGCCTTTGTCTCCCATATTGTTACCCCAGGATCTAGCGGGGTGTCACCAACGTAAACAAAACATACTTCAAACCTAAGCGGAAGAAGAAAGGGGTTTCTGACGGAGATGTCATTTCGATGCAAACCTTTTTTTTTTTCCTTTTTCTGCTGGTGTCTTCGGTTTGCTGATGACTCACAACTCTGGCCCGATGGGACTTTCAACCACAGAGAAAACAGACAGTTGGGGCTGGAGCCATAGCACAGCGGGGAGGGCGTTGGCCTTGCACGTGGACGACTAGGGTTCAGTCCCCGGCATCCCGTAGGGTCCCCCGAGCACCGCCAGGAGTGATTCCTGAGTGCAGAGCCGGGAGTCAGCCCTGAGCATCGCCGGGTGTGGCCCAAAAGACCAAAGTAATAATAATAATAACAATAATTTTAATAAGAGTCATGGGACTGGACAGATAGTACAGTGGGTAGGGTTTGGCTTTGCATGCAACTGACCCGGGTTCGATCCCCGGCATCCCATAAGGGTCCCCCAAGCACCACCAGGAGTGATCCCTGAGTGCAGAGCCAGGAGTCAGCCCTGAGCACCCCTGGCGGGGGGTGACCCTTCCAAAACAAAAAACACAAACAAGAAAATGTGACGGTATCTCTCCCACCTGCCTGGCCCGAGGAAAACGATAAGAAGGTGGTTTGTCAACCAGGGGAAGGATGTGGTACTTTCTAGAACAAGCCAGACACGGCTTGTTTCCTTCCGAGCGGTGCTCTAGATGGACGGATTAGGAGGCTGCTGAGGGCGGTTGGCATCGGGGAGAGCCACGCAGAATGTCCTGAGTGGGTTTCATGGATGTGGAAGCCAGGGAGGTTGACCATCAAGCGAACAGACACAAGCGAACGGGACAACGGGTCCCTCTGGCAAGAAACCCCCAGGGATGGTCCTTGGAAAGGTCACTCACAACGCTGTGGTGTCCAGCTACACTGTGAACTCAGCACGCACCAGTGGGGTGACCCCAGTGCCCAAAACAGCAGGGCAGGGGGACCCCATGATCTGGACCCAACACCCACCCCTCCCAGCATATGAGCTGACAGGGCGGCTCGGGTTAACAAGATCATGATCATGATCACAATCATCCTGTTGTTCATCGGTTGCCTCGAGCAGGCCCCAGTAACGTCTCCTTCGTCCTAGCCCTGAGATTTAAAAAAAAATGCCACATTCAAGGCTCTTTCAGGGTCAGGAGAATGAGACCCATCATTGTTACTGGTATTTGGCATATTGGGTCCGCCACGGGGAGTTTGCCAGACTCTGCCGTGTGGGCAGGTTACATTCGGTAGCCTGCCAGTTTGTCCAAAGTAAGAATGAGATAATAAGATGTTATGCAGCCGCAAATGTGGCCGCGCGCTTCCGGGAGCTGGGTTTTATAGTCTCTGGGTCTTGGCCATTGATGGGATTACATGGCGCGGGGGGCAGTTGGTGGGTGTGACCCCCGCCTACTGGAAGATGGAGGATCTGGGTGGAGGATGCTCAGCCCTGATCCGAGCAGGCTTGGAGATCTCAGCCTCGGGACCCACATGCCTTTGTTCCTCTGCTGGTACCTTCGTGCGTGTGGAGAGTGGTCTCAGCATGGTTGTGGCCGGTTCTGGAGGTCTTCGGATTAACACACAAAATAATAAATAACAAGGCGGCCTCTGAGGCTGGGCTGGCGGCCGCAGGATACTAAGGATCTGGCTCGGACGTGTCATCTGGAAGGGGAAGAAAGAAAAGTGATTTCTCTCTGGCTGCACCCCAGGAGGGCTCGAGAAAATTCCTTCCCTTGCAAAAGGCATCAGGAGATGCAGCCGGCCAGGAATATCCAGGGAAAGACAGGGAGAGAGGCAGGGGAAGGGATTCCTCTCCGTTTAAGAGGCAGAATGAAGATTCTGGGCGATTCTAGAAGGTTCTGGAAGGTTGGGAGCATGGCTAAGGTGCATCTCCCCACCTCCAGCTTACAGCATGTTAAGACTTTCCCAGGCCTCTGCCCTGCTCTGAGGCGTTAACAGTCTCATTTAAAAAGCAGGGTAGATCACAGGTGGATTTCTACAGAAGGGAAAGGGTTGAGTCCGAGGGCAGATGCCGGGTGCGGGAGATGTGGAAAGTGCCCGCCCTGGGTCAGCAAAGCAGTGATGATTATTTTTCTGTTTCTGATCTGCATCAGTTAAGACTCAGTGGCTGACTGTGCTGGTTGGGGTCCCCGGCAGATAAACTGGAATCGGCCAGTAATGCAGGGAAGGAGAAGAGAGTCAAATGGCAAAGATCCCCAGAGAGGGATTCTTATTTTTTTTTTAACTTTTTGGCCCCACCCGGTGATGCTCAGGGCTGACTCCTGGCTCTGCACTCAGGAATCACTCCTGGCGGTGCTCGGGGGACCCTAGGGGATGCCGGGGATCGAACCCGGGTTGGCCACATGCAAGGCAAACGCCCTCCCCACTGTGCTATTGCTCTGACCCCCTAAATTTTCTCTTCTTTGCTTTTTTGGGTCATACCCGGCAATGCTCAGGGCTGACTCCCGGCTCTGTGCTCAGGAATCACCCCTGGCGGTGCTCGGGGGACCCTAGGGGATGCCGGGGATCGAACCCGGGTCGGCCGCGTGCCAGGCCAACACCCTCCCCACTGTGCTATTGCTCTGACCCCACAAAATCCATTTCTTCTATTTGTCTTCCCCTAAGTCCGGGAACGTGCAGTCCTCTGTGGGCTGGTGGATCTGGAGGGAGAGGGAAGGCCCCACAGGGAATCCGGAGGAGTCCTCCCCGAGACCCGGGAAGGGAGAACTCACAGACGGGTGGATCCAGGAACCCCGCTCCCGGTCCTGAGGCCTGGCTGTCTCCATCCAGGCTTCGTCTTCTCCCTCACTTTATCTCCTTAGCTTGGAGGTGAAAACAGATGTTACGGAGTGAGGGCGGCTGGGCCCGTCTGGAACGTGGGCGTCCCAGTCTCCAGCCCCAGCCGTCGGGTCTCAGCCCCTCTCTCGAAGTCACCTTTACCCCCAGACCTGGGGATCCGTCTTCCCAAGACCCCGTTCTGTCTTCCAAACCTCTGAGCTCGAACACGAGTAAATCCGGGGTCCCTCCCAGCCCCGCCGGGCTCAGTCTGAGCACCAAGCCATGAGTCACCCCTAAGCACGGCCGCATATGGCCCCCACATAAAACAAAATTAAAAAAAAAAATGAATGCTGGGGCCAGAGAATAGTACAGCAGTAGGGTGCTGGCCTTGCATGCAGCCGACCCGGGTTCGATCCCCGGCATCCCCTAGGGTCCCCCGAGCACCGCCAGGAGTGATTCCTGAGTGCAGAGCCAGGAGTCAGCCCTGAGCATCTCCGGGTGTGGGGCCCCCCCCAACCAAAATGAATGACTGCATAAATAGATGAGAAACTCGTTCTGAACCCAAACAACTGACTCACTGGTAAACTGAGAAAAAGGCAAAGATGTCAAGTTCGAATTTTTAAAACGTGTCAGGGAGGTTCCTGGTGATACACATTGTGCCTCACACACCCGAGGCTCTGGGATCCAGCCTCTGCACCACACACACACACACACACACACACACACACACACACTCACGCATACACACGCACACACACATACATACACACATTCACACATACACACATACTGACACACAAGCACACACATACACTCACACACATACACACATGCACACATACACACATACTGACACACACAAGCACTCACATACATGCACACACATGCATGCACACTCACACACATACACACCTGACACACACATACACGCATATGCACACATACATGCATACACATACATACACAGTACACACGGGCACACACATACACACATAGACACAAACACACAGATGCACACACAGACGCACACGCACACATGCACGCACACAATACACAGATACACACCCATACACATGCAAACACACAAACATACACACATACACATAAACACACATATACACAGAGACAAAGACACATATATACACAAACACACACATCACACACACAAACACCCATACAGATAGACACAGAAACACACAGACTTACACACAAACACACACATACACACAACGCGCAGACACACATGCAAGCGTAACATAGACACACATCCATCACACGCAGACACAGCTCAAGGGGACTTTGGGGCGGCCTTTTGCCCCCTAAATCTCAGGCTTTTCTAGGGTTTCTATTTGTTAAAAAAAAATAGCGATTTTTTTTTCCTGTTCTCTCAGCCCCGTTTCTGGTTTGTTCAGTGCTCAGGGCTCCTGACTCTGTGCTCGAGGGCCCCCGGTCCCGCTCGGGTGGACCCATCCAAGGCCGGCATGGGACGCCCTGCCTCCTAGATTATCTCTGTCCCTCTAGACACCTGTGAAGGACCCACCCGTAAAAATCCAGACGGGGAACCCATAGAGGGGAACGGCTCGGGAGAGGCTGACAGGACGGCTTAAGCCCATTCATTCGTTCCCTTTATTCATTCCCCGGCTGGACTTACGGCCCCGGAAACCGGCACAGATGATTTTATCTATTCACTGATTTTATTCTGCTTGTCCATGCTCCATGCTCCAAAGAACTGCCTCCTGCATGCCTCCTGCCCGCCACGGTCATGAATCCACATACGAGGTCGGGCCAGGAACTGGCACCGGGCCAGGGAACACAAAAGGATGTTTTGGAGTTGGGGGACAGGCAGGCGCTGCCTTAGAGGGTCGTGGGCTCTGCCCTCCTGCCCGGCGTGGCCAGGAAAGAGGGTCCCCGAGCCCACCCTGCTTTCCGGCTGGCTATCGCCCCCGTCAGGGTCCTTCTCCCCAAGGGGTCAGCCTCTCTCTCTCTCTCTCTCTCTTGCAGACTACGTGAAGCAGAGAACATTCGAGTCGCGGGCGTTTCTGGAGGCGGTGCAGTTCTTCCAGCAGGAAAAGGGCCACTACGACTCGTGGGAAATGAACGCGGGGGATGAGGTCCAGGTACGGGTCCCAGCCTCCCTTTCCTCTGCCTGTGACACGCTCACGGTCGGGACCAGGAAATCGCGAAGGGGCCGGAGCGACAGCACAGCGGGGAGGGCATCTGCCTGGCACACGGCCGACCCGGGTTCGATCCCTGGCATCCCCTAGGGTCCCCCAAGCACCGCCAGGAGTGATTCCTGAGTGCAGAGCCAGGAGTCAGCCCTGAGCATTGCTGGGTGGGACCCAAAAAGCAAAATAATAATAATAATAATAATGAGGGAAGGGGGCTGGAGCAATAGAACAGCGGGGAGGGCATTGGCCTGGCATGCGGCCGACCCAGGTTCGATCCCCGGCATCCCATAGGGTCCCCCGAGCACCGCCAGGAGTGATCCCTGAGTGCAGAGCCAGGAGTCAGCCCTGAGCATCGCCGGGTGGGACCCAGAAAGAAAAAACAAAAAGGCAAACTTAGGGCTGATCTGGAGGAATTTGTCCATTCAGGGTGGACTCTCAGATGTCCAGGGTGTCTGAGACCCTTGTAGATCCTGACATGCTTTGCTCCAGGGGGATCCTGGTTTATTTCTTTGGGGGTCCCACCGGCGATGCCCAGGGCTGACTCCCGGCTCTGCACTCAGGACTCACTCCTGGTGGTACTCGGGGGACCCTAGGGGATGCCGGGGATCGAACCCGGGTCGGCCGCGTGCCAGGCCAACGCCCTCCCCACTGGGCAATCACTCCAACCCATCTATCTTCCTTCCATCCTTCCTTCCTTTTTCTCTTTTTCTCTTTTTCTCTTTCTTCTTTCTTTATTTTTCTTTTTTCTTTCTTTTTCTCTTTTTCTCCTTTTCTTTCTTTCTTTTTCTTTTCTCTTTCTCTTTCTTTCTTTCTTTCTCTTTTTCTCTCTTTCTTTTTATCTCTTTTTTCTTTCTCTTTCTCTTTCCTTTTCTCTCTTTCTTTCCTTCCTCCCTTCATTCCTTCTTTCTTTCTCTTTCTTTTTTATCTCTTTTTTCTTTCGTTCTCTTTCTTTTCCTCTCTTTCTCTTTCTTTCTCTTTTCTTTCATTTCTTTCTTTTTCTTTTTCTTTCTTTTTCTCTTTCTTTCTTCCCTTCCTCCCTTCATTCCTTCTTTCTTTCTCTCTTTTTCTGTCTGTCTTTTTATCTCTTTCTTTCTCTTTCTCTCTTTCTTTCTTTTTCTCTCTCTCTCTCTCTTTCTTTCTTTTTCTTTTGCTTTTTGGGTCCCACCCGGCGATGCTCAGGGCTGACTCCCGGCTCTGCACTCAGGGATCACTCCTGGCGGTGCTCGGGGGACCCTATTCGATGCCGGGGATCGAACCTCCTGGGTCGGCTGCGTGCCAGGCCAACACCTTCCCCACTCTGCTGTCGCTCCGGCCCCACCACAGAGATTCCGGGGGTTCAGGCTGGAGGTGGGGGGTTGCCCTCCTGTGTCCGGGACCCCCGCCCCCCTGACGCTCGGGCCCTTCCGCGCGCAGATCCTGAGCGGGCTGGTGATGGAGGAGCTGCTGCCCACGCTGCAGGCCGACATACTGCCCCGGATGAAGGGGAAGAAGCAGGACCGGAAGCGAGCTTGGCTCGGGGTGAGGCTGCCACGCCGGGGGGTGGGAGGTCAGGAGGCAGGCAGGACCCCCAGCCCAGCCCCCAGCCCCTCGGGGCCAGTGTGGAACCAGGAGGGGCCCCAGGCTGCCTGGGAGGACCCCCCAACACACACACACACACACACACACACACAACCACACCCTGTTTGGGGTTGGGGCCACACCCAGGTGGTGCTCAGGGCTACTCCTGGCAGGGACCACGTGCGATGCCGGGCTCGAACCCCGGTGGGCCACAGGCAAGACAAAGGCCCTCCTTCCTGCCCAGTGCCAGTTCCTGCTCCCTGTCTCCCTCTCTCTCTCTCTCTCTCTGTCTCTCTCTCTCTCTCTCTCTCACTCATTTCTGGATCACACCTGCCCATGCTGAGGTTTGTTGCCTGAGAGACGCCCTAATAAACAAAGCCAAACACCCGTTGTTGTTTTTTTCCTTCTCTGTCTGTCTGTCTCTCTCTTTCCGTCTCTGTCTGTTGCTTTGTTTTTCTCTCTACGTCTCTGTTTCTATCTCTTTGTCTCTGTCTCTCTGTCTCTCTCTTTGTCTCTCTGTCTCTGTCTTTCAGTCTCTGCCTCTCCCTGTCTCTGTCTGCATGTCTCTGTCTGTCTCTTTCTGTCTCTCTGTCTCTGTCTTTCTGTCTCTGCCTCTCCCTGTCGGTCTGTCTCTCTGTCTCCTTCTCTCTCTGTTGCTTTCTTTGTCTCTCTACGTCTCTGTTTCTATCTCTTTGTCTCTGTCTCTCTGTCTCTCTCTTGGTTCTCTCTGTCTCTGTCTCTCTTTCTCTCTTTCTCTGGTTTCTGGGCCCCCCTTAGCAGTGCTCACTGCTCTGGCATCTCGCATTGTCTGCAGTGCCCCAGGACTCCTGGCTTAGTGCTCGTTCCCGCGAGCATCCCTGTGCCTGCTCCCTTGGGCCGGGCTGCTGAGTCCGTCCCGGCCGCCTGACCCCGCACGTCCCCGCAGCTGCTGGAGGAGGCGTCGGGGCTGGTGGGCCGGCAGGTGGCCGAGGCGCTGGACGCCCTGAAGGAGGAGTGTCGGGCCCAGGCCGAGCCACTGGAGGGCGCCCTGCGGGCCGACGCCGACCAGATCTTGGCCTCCAAGAGCTTCCTCAGCGGGAAGATCAAAGGTCAGTGGGGGTCCCCCCACCCCGGGTTCTCGGGTGGTCGGCACTCAGGAGCTGCCACAGAAGCACCCAGAGGTGTCGGCACAGTCCCGTGGAAACTTCCAGAACACAACTTTGCTTTTTCCCTTTTTTCACTCAACTGGTTGAGCCATCTCCCAGCCTCGAGCGAGGACGGTCTGAGCAGGGTGGCCGGGAACCGGGCGCGAGCAACAGGTGGACACTCCGGCCCATCTGTTCCAGCTGCTTCTAGATGTTTCCAGCTGCTTCTGGATTCTTCCAGATGCTTCCAGCCGCTTCTAGCATATTTCAGATGCTTCTAGATTCTTCCAGACTCTTTTGGCTGCTTCTGGATTCTTCCAGATGCCTCCAGCTGCCTCTAGACTCTTCAGATGCTTCCAGCTGCTTCTGGATTCTTCCAGACGCTTCTGGATTCTTCCAGATGCCTCCAGCTGCTTCTAGAGTCTTCCAGATTCTTCCAGCTGCTTCTGGATTCTTCCAGATGCTTCCAGCTGCTTCTAGATTATTCCAGCTGCTTCTAGATTCTTCCAGATTCTTCCAAACTGTCTCAGGCACAAGCAGCACAGACCCCTCAAAAGTGGTCCTGGGTCTTCTGTCCTTAGACGAGGGATCAGCAATGCCGACACTTGCCCCAGAACCCAGCGAGCCCGAGTCTTGGTCCAGAAACTCCTAACCCGGCTCACAGTCTCTCCCTAATGTCTGAGCAGACCCCAACTCCCCGTGGGGACTCCGTAGAAGGAGCAAAGGGTGCCCCCCATCCTCACTCCCCAAACGCTCCATCCCGCCACCAGGGCAGGGAGCCAGGGCACGGGGCTCCCCCAGTGGATGCAGGGTGTGTTCTGGAACGTTCATTCCGGCATTTCCTGGTGCCTGCTGGCATGCATTCTGGAACATTCTAGCATCTCCTGGTTCCTGGTGGCGTGTTCTGGAGTGTTCTAGGTGTGTTTTGGGGTGTTCTGGAGCATTACACCATCTCCTAGGCCTACTGCGTGTTCTGGAATATTCTGGCATCTCCATGTGCCTGCTGGCATGTGTTGGAGTGTTCTAGGTGTGTTCTGGGCTGTTCTCGAGCATTCTACCGTCTCCTGGAGCCTGCTGGCATGCATTCTGGAACATTCTAGCATCTCCTGGTGCCTGCTGGAGTGTTCTGGAGTGTTCTGGGTGTGTTCCGGGGTGTTCTAGAGCGTTCTACCGTCTCCTGGAGCTGCTGGCGTGCTCTGGAACATCCCAGCACCTCCTGGTGCTTGCTGGCGTGCTCTGGAACATCCCAGCACCTCCTGGGCCCGCTGGCGTGTTCTCCTGGCGTGTGCGGGCGCCTGAGTCCCGCCCGCTCTCCCCTCCCAGGGACAGTGTTGCCGCGGGCGGAGCCGCTGCTGGCCGAGAGCGTGCGGCCCTTCCTGGCCTCGCTGCTGGACGAGCTCATGGGCCCCGTGACCTGCGGCTTCGGCGCCCTCCGGGGCCTGCTGGAGGACCGGGTGGACGCGCTGGGCCGCAGCGCCCGGGCCGGGGACGACGCGCAGCTGCGGGAGGTCCGGACGGCCCAGCCCTGACCGCCCCCTGCCCGCCCCGACCCTGACCCTGACCCTCCCCGCCCCCTCCCCGGCAGCCCCCGTGGGGGGACCCCGAGAGGGGCGCCGTCCGACTGCCCCCGTCCCGCAGCGCCTGCAGCAGCTGGGGCGCCTCCCGCTGGACCCGCTGGCCATGGAGCCCTGCTACGGCCACGCTGACCACCTGCGGGCGCGCGCGGCCGAGCTGCAGGGCCGCTTCCGCTTCGCCCACGCGCACCTGGTGGCCCAGCGAGCCCAGAGCCACATGCAGGAGGTGCGCCCCGCCCGCGTGCACCCGTGAGCGCGTGTGCGTGTGTGGTTCGCACGCGAGCGCCCGTGTGCTTGGATGGGTGTCTGCCCGGGAGCGTGTGTGCGTGCGTGTGTGTGCATAGAAGGTGCTCGTGTGAGCGACTGCGTGCTTGAATGTGCATATGTGCATGTGTGTGCATGCATGTATGCATTTGCGTGTGTGCGCATATGTGAGCATGTGTACCTGTGTGTATGTGCGTGTGTCCTGATATGGTAGACACGCGAGCACCTATGTGCTTAGATGTGTGTCTTCCTGTGACCGTGTGTACATGTGTGTACATGCATGTATGCATGTTTATATGTGCGTGTGTGTACTGATATGGTACAGACATGAGCACCTACATGCTTGGATGTGTCTGCCTGTGAGCGTGTGTACGTGCATGTATGCATGTGTGTATGTGTATGTGCTTATAGGGTACACATGCAAGCACCTCCGTGCTTGGATGTGTGTCTGCCTATGAGCATGTGTACATGTGTGTACATGCATGTGTGTACATGCGCGTGTGTACATATAAGGTACACGTGTGAGCAACTGTGTGCTTGGACGTGTCTGCCTGTGAGCATGTGTACATGTGTGTACATGCATGTATGCATGTGTGTATGTGCATGTGTGTACATATAAGGTCCACGTGTGAGCAACTGTGTGCTTGGATGTGCATCTGTCTGTGTGCATATGTGAGCATGTGTACCTGTGTGTATGTGCGTGTGTACTGATGTGGTGCACACGTGAGCACCTATGTGCTTGGATGTGTCTGCCTGTGTACATGTGTGAACATGTGTACATGTGTGTGCACATGCGTGTACGTGCACATGTATACTTATCTAGTACACATGTAAGCACCTGTGTGCTTGGATGTGCATATGCCTCTATGCACCTGCGGGCACACGTGCATGTGTGTGTATGCACGCACGTGTGCGCGCGTGCACGTATGTGCACCTGTATTTATGTTGTGCGTGCATGTCTGCACATCTGTGTGTGTGAATATGTGTGTCTGCCTTGTGCTTTTGTGTGCCTGTGTGACTGCATGAATGTGTGTGCATGAAAGTGTGTGTGTGAGCTGTTGTGTGCATGTGTGACTGCGGTCACACGTCACGTGGGTGTGTGCTGAGATGCGTGTGTCTGCATGTTCCTGTGTGCATGCGTGACTGTGTGCGTGTGTGAGTGTGGGTGTGTGTGTGCGTGCGTGGAAGCGTGCGTGTCCGGCCTCTGGCTGGTCCCGGCTGCGGACCCGAGCCCTGAGCGTGTCCCTCTCCGCCCCCAGCTGATGGGCAACGCCGTGCACACGTTCCAGGAGCTGCTGGCCCCTCACCTGCAGGGCGAGGCCCCCAAGACCGCAGCCGCCCTGGAGAAGGTCAAGCTCCGGGTCCTGAAGGTAAAAGTGCGGAGGCCGGGGGCGGGGGCGGGACTGAGGCGCCCCCCGCCCCGCCGTCCGCACCCCTCACCCTCCCCAGGGCCCACCCGGGCGCTGCCCTGCCCGGCCCCACGTCTGGGCCTCGCCTGCCACCTGGTGGCCACTGCGGGAATCGCGCGCTCTCGCCTTGCAGTTGGGCGCTTTGGCGCCAGCCGGGGGCTTTGCAGAGACCTCACCACCACCCCACCTCCCCCGGCATCTCATAGGGTCCCCCCCAGCCCCCCGCCGGGAGTCAGCCCTGAGCACGGAGCCTGGAGTGAGCCCTGAGCACGGAGCCGGGAGTCAGCCCTGAGCACGGAGCCAGGAGGGAGCCCTGAGCACGGAGCCAGGAGTCAGATCTGAGCACAGAGTCAGGAGTCAGACCTGAGCACAGAGACAGGAGTGAGCCCTGAGCACGGAGTCAGGAGTCAGACCTGAGCACAGAGCCGGGAGTGAGCCCTGAGTACAGAGACAGGAGTGAGCCCTGAGCACTGAGCCGGGAGTGAGCCCCGAGCACAGAGTCAGGAGTCAGACCTGAGCACAGAGTCAGGAGTCAGACCTGAGCACAGAGACAGGCGTGAGCCCTGAGCACGGAGTCAGGAGTCAGACCTGAGCACAGAGCCGGGAGTGAGCCCTGAGTACAGAGACAGGAGTGAGCCCTGAGCACTGAGCCGGGAGTGAGCCTCGAGCACAGAGTCAGGAGTCAGACCTGAGCACAGAGTCAGGAGTCAGACCTGAACACAGAGACAGGAGTGAGCCCTGAGCACGGAGTCAGGAGTCAGACCTGAGCACAGAGCCGGGAGTGAGCCCTGAGTACAGAGACAGGAGTGAGCCCCGAGCACAGAGTCAGGAGTCAGACCTGAGCACAGAGTCAGGAATCAGACCTGAGCACAGAGACAGGAGTGAGCCCTGAGCACTGAGCCAGGAGCGAGGCCCCGAGCACAGAGTCAGGAGTCAGATCTGAGCACAGAGCCAGGAGTGAGCCCTGAGCACGGAGCCGGGAGTGAGCCCTGAGCACAGAGCCGGGAGTGAGCCCCGAGCACAGAGTCAGGAGTCAGACCTGAGCACAGAGACAGGAGTGAGCCCTGAGCACTGAGCTAGGAGTCGGCCCTGAGCATCGCCGGGTGGGACCCAAAAGAAGGGAAACAAAAAGAAAACGAGAGGACTCTGGGTGTCGCCCCCCAAGTCGAGCCACCCCCTCCCCCAGCCTCAGCCCTGGGCTTTGGAGGAGGCGTCGGCCCACCTGGACTCAGCTCCAAGCCACGCGTCCCGCCGGAGAAAGACTCTTGGGGTCCCCAGAAACGCTCCCTCCCCCGTGTCCGGCCTCCAGGGCGCCATGGGCAGGGCAGGAGGAGGGTTCTGGGCCGGGTGGGGGGGGGGGGGAGGGGGGACGGGAGGTGCCTTGGTGCTCCCGGGTCAGGGGTCACCGTCTCTCTCTGCAGCAATTCGACTACGACAGCAGCAGCATCCGCAAGAGGCTGTGCCAGGGGGCTCTGGTGCAGGTGACGCTGCCCACCCTGCGGAGAGGCCTGGCAGCCGCCTGCAAGCCGGTGAAGACCCTCGCCCGCCCCCAGCCCCGCCCCCAGCCCTCGGCCCCGCCCCTCAGACCCGCCCCCAGTCCTCAGCCCCGCCCACCCCTCAGCACCACCCCTCAGTCCCGCCCTATCCTTTAGCTTCGCCCCACCCTCAGCCCCGCCCTCAGCCCCGCCCCAGCCCTCGGCCCCGCCCCTCAGACCCGCCCCCAGCCCTCAGCCCCGCCCCCAGCCCTCGGCCCCGCCCCTCAGACCCGCCCCCAGTCCTCAGCCCCGCCCCCAGCCCTCAGCCCCGCCCCACCCCTCAGCCCCACCCCTCAGTCCCGCCCTATCCTTTAGCTTCGCCCCACCCTCAGCCCCGCCCTCAGCCCCGCCCCAGCCCTCGGCCCCGCCCCTCAGACCCGCCCCCAGCCCTCAGCCCCGCCCCCAATCCTCAGCCCCGCCCCCAGCCCCTCCCCCGTCCCCACTCTCAGCCCCGCCCCTCAGCCCCGCCCCCAGTCCTCAGCCCCGCTCTCAGCCCCGCCCCACCCCTCAGCCCCACCCCTCAGCCCCGCCCCCAGCCCCTCCCCCGTCCCCACTCTCAGCCCCGCCCCTCAGCCCCGCCCCCAGTCCTCAGCCCCGCTCTCAGCCCCACCCCTCAGCCCCGCCCCCAGCCCCCCCAGCCCCGCTCTCAGCCCCGCCCCTCAGCCCCAGCCCTCAGCCCCGCCCCTATCCTTTAGCTTCGCCCCACCCTCAGCCCCGCCCTCAGCCCCGCCCCAGCCCTCAGCCCCGCCCCCCAGCCCTCTGCCCAAACCTCAGCCCAGGGGCCAGAGCGACAGCACAGCGGGGAGGGCGTTGGCCTGGCACGCGGCCGCCCCGGGTTCGATGCTCGGCATCCCCTAGGGTCCCCCGAGCACCGCCAGGAGGGATTCCTGAGTGCAGAGCCGGGAGTCAGCCCTGAGCACCGCCGGGTGGGACCCAAGAAGCAAAATAATAATAATAATAATATTGGGTCCATCACCCAGTTCAGCACCTTGATCAATATCTGATCCATCCATAGGGGCTGGAGCAATAGCACAGCAGGGAGGGCGTTGGTCTGGCACGTGACCAACACGGGTTTGATCCTCAGCATCCCCTCGGGTCCCCTGAGCACCGCCAGGAGCGATTCCTGAGTGCAGAGCCGGGACTCAGCCCTGAGCACCGCCGGGTGGGGCCAAAAAGGCCAGAACATAACACTGTACACACAGAGTTCGCTGTTGGTAGCTTCTGCCTTGGCATCGTTGGCATCTGGAAACAGAAGAGAAAGAAGGGTGTGGGTTCTGCTGGGGGGAAAGAGTCCCGGCACCCCCAGACCAGACCTGGAGGTTGCCGTGATCTCGCGCTCGGTGCCAACAGAATGTGTCCAGTGCAGGGAACGGCATCAGGAGCGGGAAGGGCGTGACCGCGGCTCAGAGTCCCACCAGCCCGACCGCCTCTCTCTGCTCAGCCCCCGCTCCTGCTCCTCTATCCCACGCCCCAGGAGCTCCAGAACTTCGAGCAGTTCATCTTCGCCGACCACACGGGCGTGATCCACGTGGAGAACATCTACGAGGAGATTCTGCACGAGATGCTGCAGGCCGAAGCCCTGAAAGGTGAGGCCGGGGGGCGGGTGTGGGGGAGCCTGGAAGCTCCCAGTGGGAGAGCATCGCCTCCGCGTCAGAGCACCACCTCTGCGTGGGAGCACCGCCTTCGTGTCACCGCGTCAGAACAGTGCCCACGTGTGGGAGCACTACATGTGGGAGCACCACCTCGTGTGGGAGCACGGCCTCTTGGCGGTGGTGGGCCGTTGGTTTGGGGTCGCATACTCGTACGGGAGCCACGCGACCTCACCCAAGCACCCTGTGTGCCCCGCGTCACCCACCCGCCTCTCTGGGTTACCACGTAAGCCCCCTCCCCACCCTCCGTGACCCCCCAACCCGCCGCAGAGCCAGGCCTGTGTCTGCCGTGGCCTGAGGAACGAAGGAGGGAAGCAGGGGCAGGTGGGGCCCCGAGAGGGGGGTGTGCGGGCTGCCTTCCGGGAGGGCTGCCTGGAAGAGGGGGCGCCGGGCCGGAACGTGGGGCTCCGAGGCCTGGCAGGGCGCTCAGGGCCGGCTCTGTGTTCTGGCGTCTCCTAGTGATCCAGGAAGCCGCCAGCCTGCAGAGACACAACCTGCTGGACGACGGCGCGGCCCTGCCCAGCGAGAGCATGTCCAGCCTCGCCGACCTCGGGACCCCCTCGGGCTCGGGCCAGGCCAGCCCTGCCCGCGACCCCTCAGCCCTGCCGCCGGACGCGCCCGAGAGCAACGACGTCTTCCAGGGCCCCGAGGACACGCGGCCTGGGGAGGGCCCGACCCCCGCGGGACCCAGCCCCCCACGGGAGCAGGACGGGCCGGGGCCGGTTCCCCCCGGGGAGGATCCTGGGACCCCAGTGGGGGCCGGACGGGGCATGAGCACAGGCTCTGCGGAGTTGGAGTCGGGGGCCCCCCTGGGCCCCCCAGAGGCCTTGCCTGCCTCGGGCTCCCTGGCCGAGCTCCGGGACCTGCTGACGGTGACCGTTGAGCTCCCTGGAGCACCCGGCCCCCTCGAGGCTGATGGAGACAGAGACCCGGGGGTCCCGGCAGAGGCAGCAGGGAGGGCGGCCCCCGACCCAGACCCCAGCCAGGGGCCAGCAGAGGCCGAGAAGCCCCCGGAGAGGGAGGCTCAGGGAAGCGTCCAGGCAGCCCCTCTCGTCCCTGGGGAGCCAGGAGAGGCTCAGGGCGGACCCCAGGGTGGGGACGGGGAGGAGAAGAGGGCGGGGGAGGGGCGCACGCCCCGCGTGTTCGAGTGTGAGTGGGTGGTGGAGCGCGCAGAGCAGCTGGAGCTCCAGGGCCCCCAGGAGGAGGGGCGCGGCCCCGGGCCAGCCTGGGAGTAGCCACCGGACACCCAGCCCTTCACCAGAGGCCCAGCCCCTGGTCACTGCCCGTGAGTCATCCCCTCCCAGCGAGCGACTCCCTCCTCAGGGGACACCCGGAGGCCTGCACCAGGCCTGGGGATCACGGCTTTGGTGTCGGGGGCTGCAACTTTGGGAGGGAGGAAGGAGCTGGAGGGTCCGTGTGTGCCCATGTTTCCTCCCGTGGGGAGGCTGGGCCGGGGTCGGTGAGAATCTCTGGGGAGAGGGCCTTCCGGGCCAGGCACTGGCCTTGCATGTGGCCCAACCCGGTTCAATCCCCTGCACTGCCAAGAGTCACTCCTGAGCACAGAGCCAGGGGTGAGCCCTGAGCACTGAGCCGGGAGTCAGCCCTGAGCACAGTGCCTGGAGTCAGCCCTGAGCACAGAATTGGGAGTCATCCCTGAGCACTGAGTTGGGAGTCACCCCTGAGCATCACTGGGTGTGATCCCCACCCTCCACAATAAAAGCATGCAAATGGAAACCTGGCTTCACCACCTGTTAGACCAACGGCACCATCTCCTCGGAGCTTGACATCTGTCCACAGGTGCAGGGAGCCTCCAGTCAGGGTGTGTGTGTGTGTGTGTGTGTGTGTGTGTGTGTGTGTATGCACAGTGCTAGAGACCCTCAGGAGGCTGGGCTGATGTGGGGACGGCGGTTTGCAGGCTGAGGACACGGCTGTCAGCCCCTGGTTTGTTTGGGCCGTAGGGCTGCGGGGAATGGCCACCTTCAGGGGGACTTGGAGGAAGCGCTCTTGGCGTGTCCGAGCCTGGAAGCTTCGCAAGGCAGGCACAGACTGGGAGAGAGAGGGAGAAGGCCCCGGGGCAGTGACGAAGATGCCACCTATCATGAAAGCAGATCGTGGGACCTAGTCCATGCCACGTGCTGTGATTGGGGCAGAACAAGCCTTCGTGTTTTGTGCAGCAAATGAGAGGACCCAAGGGAAGGTCATCAGAAGGAATAAGGGGGTCTCCTTATTCCTACAGAAATGGGAAGGAGGGGGGAGGGAGGGAGGAAGGAAGGAGAGAGGGAGGGAGGAGAGAAGGAAGGAAGGAAGGAAGGGAGGAAGGAGAGAAGGAAGGAGGGAAAGAAGGAAGGAAGGAAGGAGGGAGGGAGGAAGGGAGGCAAACAACCTACAGCCCTTCACTGTGGGATTCTTCATCCTTGTTTGACCGCGGAATTCAGGCCACAAAACTCAGGCCACGGAATCAGGCTGCGGCTCTAGTGCTCCGCCGTGAGACATCGGCGCGCAGACACAAGTGCGTCTTGTCCCTAAGCGGATCGGGGCCGTGGCTTCCCGTGTGCACGGCGCAGTGACTCACAGACAAGTTGCGTTGAGCTCACGCTTTGCATGCAGGAGGCCCGGGTTTGAGCCCTGCAAGGGCCCCCCAAGCCCTGAGTTCCAGCAGCCCCTGATCAGCCCCAGGTGTGCCCCCCCCAACACCCCGCCCCCTGCAATATTTTAATTCGGTGACAGCGCGTGGAGTTTCCAGCCAAAGATCCAAAGGCTCCACTCTAGCCCTTCGGGAAGACCGTGATGACTTCCTCCAAGCTCGGACCGGTCCCAAACCGTCCAGCTCCTAGCGGACTATCCTCAGAGCTGTTTTGAATCGCACACGGCCAATCTATTCCTGTTCATCCTTTAAAGAACGGTCCCGGGGGCTGGAGAGATAGCACAGTGGGGAGGGCGTTTGCCTTGCACGCGGCCAACCCGGGTTCGATTCCCAGCATCCCCTAGGGTCCTCCGAGAACCGCCAGGAGTGATTCGTGAGTGCAGAGCCAGGAGTCAGCCCTGAGCATTGCCAGGTGGGACCCAAAAAGCAAAAAAAAAAAGAACGGTCCCTGCACATCTGCCCGAGCCCAGGTGCTATGTGCACCCACGTGGCAGAGCACATGTGGTACCCAACCAAGCACACATGTCGCCCGCATCTCCCCTCTTGAGATGGGAACTTTCCTGCTCTCCTGTCTAATGCTGGGGTGTGTGTAGGGGTCTCTCCACCCTCGGAGAAGCCCAGGTTCTCTCTTGAGACGTTCCTCCCCACTCTCTCCCACTCTCTCTCCCTACTTCCCTTCAAACACCTTCAAATAGTCTGTTTTACAATAATAATAATCACTGGATACCCCTTTACTCATCGATTTACTCGAGCGGGTGCCAGTAACGTCTCCATTCATCCCTGTTGTGTGCTAGCATAGCCCAATGGCATCTGCTCATTCTAGGAACATGCAGAGCCTCAAACTGATAATAATAATAATTTATTATAATAATCACGATCATGATCATGATTATTGTTGTTCATCAATTGCCTTGAGCAGGCACCAGTAATGTCTCCTTCATCCTAGCCCTGAGATTCTAAAAAGTGCCACATTCAAGGCTCTTTCAGGGTTAGGAGAATGAGACCCATCGTTGTTACTGGTATTTGGCATATTGAGTACGACACGGGAAGTTTGCCAGACTCTGCCGTGCGGGCAGGATACGTTTTGTAGCCTGCCAGTTTCTCCAAAGGAAAAATAAGATCATAAGATGTCATGCGGCCACAAATGTGGCCGTGCGCTTCCGGGAGCTGGGTTTTATAGTCTCTGCGTCTTGGCCGTTGATGGGACCAACCTGGCGCTGGCGGCAGCTGGTGGGTGTGACGCCTACCTACTGGAAGATGGAGGGTCTGGGTGGAGAAGGCCCAGTCCCAATCCGAGCAGGCTTGGAGACCTCAGCCCCAGGACCCGCATGCCTGGGTTCCTCTGCCAGTTCTTTCATGCATGAGGCCCGTCCGGATGTGTGGAGAGTGGTCCCAGCATGGACCATTATATTGTAATAATATAATAATAAGTAAAACAAATTAAAGAAGGATCCCAGACCAGAGTGATAGCACAGCGGGGTGGGCACCAGCCTGGCACAGGGCCAAGCCGGGTTGGATCCCCGGCATCCCCCAGCACCGCCAGGAATGATCCCCGATCACAGAGCCCAGAGCCAGCCCTGGCGTGGGGGCAGCCTGTGGGATTCAGGGTGGGTGGGCCCGGGCAAGGCCAGCTCCTTACCTGCTCTCCGCATCTCCAGCCCCTAGATAAGTATTTTTGGGAGCAGATCCCAGGGTGGCCCCCAAAGCTTTCTGAAGTGCAAGGGGTGATGAAGGGGACAGTCATGGGGGGGGAGGATCTGGTTTCCTATGAAAAGCTCCAAATTCCGAGATTGTGATCGGAGACTTTGGGATACTAGAGCTCTTCAGGACAAAGTTAATGTTAAGGTTCTTGTTTGTTGGGTTGGGGGGCGGGAAGGGACAGTGGGTGGGACTCAGCGGCCACTCCCAGCTCGGGGGCTCAGGGCTTGGGGGACTCCGGGGGCCTGTGTGGTTTTGGGGAGGGTACCTGGGGGCACCTCCAGCCTGCAAGGAAAGCCTTTGGCCAGGGCCCGGAGTTTTAGTGCTTTTTGTGCTAATTTAGCATTTCAGTCTGGGAAGAGAAGGTGCTTCCGGTTTTGAGAAAAAAAATAAAAAATCAGGTCTTCCTGGGGGCTGGAGCGATAGCACAGCGGGGAGGGCGTTTGCCTGGCACGCGCCCGACCTGGGTTCGATTCCCAGCATCCCATAGGGTCCCCCGAGCACCGCCAGGAGTAACCCCTGTGCAATGCCCGGGTGTGACCCAAAAAAGCAAAAAAAAAATCAGGTCTTCCTGGCGGAAGGGGTAGACAAAGGGGCACGAGGAGGTGCCCCCTGGAGACCCACAGCTTCGGGGAAACGGCCTGCAAGTCCTGGCCACCCTGCAACGGTCCTCCTGGTGCTGTCACGCAAGTAACCCCCAGACGCGGTCCAGCACGTGTTTACTCTGCTGGCACCTGTGTCCCAACGATGAACGCCAGGTCCAGGCCCTCTGCGTTTGGGATGGGGGACAGGGGTGGGGTCCTCCTCTGAGCAAATGTCACAGCGGAGCTGCCCCCCAACCCCCCAGGGGGTGCTGAGTCATAGCCGGGTCTGCGTTGGGATTTAGGTTCTGCTGCCATCAGGAAATGGGCGCCCTGGCTGGTGTTCACTGGAGCCTGTTGCTTCCTCCACGTCCCCCGAACTTTTTCCACATTCCCCTTAAAACACAGTGGTCGCTGGGGCTGCATCCACCCAACCACAGTGACTCTCTGGGGCCACATCCCCCCAGAACACAGTGGACCCCCCCAGGACCACATCCCCCCAACACAGTGACTCCCGGGGCTGCATTCCCCCACAACACAATGACCTCTGCCTGCCACATCCCGGAATACAAAAGAAGTGTTTTGTCTTCAGACACACAGCACTTGGTGGTGGCTCCCAGAAGGGGAAACCTTCTTTTTTTTTTCCACAACATTCCATGGAATAGCATCTCATTTCACCAGTATTGCCACAAGTGGTACCTGCTTCCACGAATTCAAGGCCGCACCCCTCCCATTCCGTGGTACTGCCTGAATCTCATGGAGGGAGGCAGTGTTTTTCTCCATGGGGGGGGGCGGGGAGTAGATGTATTTTTCTGTCCATTGGTAGCTTCACGGGTGAGCTCTGGAGTTTGTGACTGAGATTTGGTTGGTTTGGGGCCACACCCGGCGATGCTCAGGGCTGACTCCTGGCTCTGCGCTCAGGAATCACTCCTGGCAGTGCTCGGGGGACCCTATGGGATGCCGGGGATCGAACCCAGGTCATCCTCTATAGCTTTTTTTTGTTAGTTTCAGGGGCGACTCCTGAGGCTGGTCAGGGGGGTCCGAGGTGCTGGGGATCCAAGCCAGGGCTTCCCCCCTACGTTCCAGCCCTCCCAGCCCTGGCCAGCGACTCCTTCCCCGTGACTGAGGTTAATTATAACCTCACCAGTGCTCAGGCCGACGCGCTAGCTGTCTATAAGGTCAGTGGGAATGTGACCAGCGGCCAACACCGGTTAGTGCTTGAGATAAACTCACTTCAGCTCCCAGAACCAATTTTTCTGCAGCCAAACAGTGTAGACCTTGGGGAATAATTCCACACCCTCCTTGGGAAGGA